GGCTGGGCCGACTAGTCTGTTATGCCGATGCTACAGCGCGTACAGCGTTAGTCTCACCGCAGCGCGTGTGCTGATTGACTAGTGGGCTGCCGCTCGATAGAAATATTTCGTTGTTAATATCTCAAAATTTCACGCAGTCGTTTAAAAAGAGATACCGATTCCATAACTCACCCCAGCCTATTTTAACTATATATTAGCTCTGATACGGTACAAGTCAGACATCCTGTATATATTTCGCTTATATGATACTTATACACACATAATATTTCTTCCCAATTTGCATTGCGAAAACCTGACTGTTTTGCAAACTTGTTATTCATCTTTCATTACATCTACGACAAAACTTTATTAACATTAATAAACATGGCCGATTTTGCAACTCGTATACTATTTTCGTCGTAGCAATTACGTCAAATATACATATATATATATATATATATATATATATATATATATATATATATATATATATATACAGGATGTCCCGCGTAAGACAGACCAAAAGAAAAAAATATAAGTACTACTGTGTCCAAAAAGTAAGACCAGTTTTTATTTATTTTAAAAAATACTTATTTATTCTTCCAAATCTATTTCGTCGCCTTCAAAGTAATCCCCTCCCGACACAATATACTTATGCCAACGTATTTTCCAGTCCTCGAAACAAGAATTAAAGTTGCCTTCCGGGAGGGTGTATATCAGTTGGACACGGGGCAATTGGACACAGTCCAATCACAAGTCGCTGTTCCAAGGGACCCTATAAATGTCTCTAATCACACGGTGCCGTGATTGGCTGTGTCCAAATGCACCGTGTCCAAGTGCACTGCTCCCTTCCGGGATGGCTTTCAGAGCGCGTAGCGATTCACGTTGTATCTCTTCTATCGTCTCAAAACGATTTCCCCGTAGTGGTCTTTTGAGTTTCGGGAATAGCCAGAAGTCATACGGTGCTAAATCAGGCGAATATGGTGGTTGTGGAACGATATGGATCGAATTTTTGGCGAAAAAATCACGAAGAACGAGTGCAGTGTGAGAAGGTGCATTTGGCACTAGTCGAGATTTTACATATTTCAGGCCCAAAATATCTTTCAAAATGATATTGGCAGGTCCTTTCGAAATACCAACAGCATCAGCAAGGTCTCTAACAGTCATTCGACGATTAGCAAGCACAAGTTCTTCGATTTTCTTGACGTGTTGTTCATCGGTAGAGGTTGATGGTCGTCCGGAACGCTCTTCGTCTTCAATACTTTCACGACCTTTTTTGAACTGTTTATATCACTTGTAAACATTCCTTTCCGACAAAGCATGTTTCCCGAAGACTTTCGGCAACATCCTGAACGTTTCTGCACCCGAAATTTCATTCCGCAAACAAAATTTAATGCAACTTCTTTGCTCAATATAATTAGATATTGTAAAAATCGCCGAATGCACTTTTAGCGTACAAAACTAAGTAAAGCAAAAAGTAATGAATGTTTTGACATGAAATTTGTCACAGATGTCTGTCACAATGCTGCCAACTTAGAAAAAAAAAAAATATTTATGATGTGCGGTTTACCCGCGCGATTTAAATTGAAAACTGGTCTTGTTTTTTGGACACAGTAGTAGAACACATAAAAGTGAACAAAAATTGTATAGGTCATTTTTCAAACAACCACGTAAAATTTCGGACATTAACAACATATTTAGTATGAGCACTGGCAACTTATAAGGATAATTGAAAATGATTCAAATTAATTGGACATTACGGATTCAATAGTGCACGTACACAAGAAGCAGCCATGCATGCGCGCTTATACATGTATAGTATATTGACAGTTCAAGCGCTAAGCGTACATATATCTGGCTTCTCTTTGTGTGCATAGGAACCGCGTCTTCTGCCCAGCATCGCTGCCGTGACGGTCACTGTGAAAAAAATAATGCGTGCACGAGAGAAAGAGATGGAACGTCATACATCTATCTCCTTCTGTTACTCGTCGCCCGACGTTCCGAGCGCACACGTACACGGACGCACACACGGAGCTATCCATTTCAGCCCCGAACGGTCCGCCTCTGTGGCCTATGAGATAGGCCTGCGAGCAATCGTCTATTTTCTTCGCCGACCGCTGCAAGCCGTATGTCCTGCCTGTCGTGTCGCGCGTTCTAATTTGTCAAACTATTTTAATTAATAACTCGAAATTTTACGTGGTTGTTTGAAAAATGACCTATACAATTTTTGTTCACTTTTATGTGTTTTACTTATATTTTTCTTTTGGTCCGTCTTACGCGGGACTCTCTATATATGTATACAGGGTGTCTCACACTCTCCTCCGAGCATTTAGTGAGGACGTAGAATGGGTTGATGTGAACATAAAAGTCCTATATCGTTTTGCGATATTCTTAATAATAGTCGAGTAATTAATTGTGAAAGCTCAGCGGTATAAGAATAGGCAGTGGTGCGTTGTTTTCCAATCGCGACGCGCGACATCCGCGCGCTATATTATTAGGCTGCGCTGTGACTCAAGCGGTCCGTCCTCTACCATTCAGCAAACGCTTTTTCTTAATCTTTCACAATTAATTACTCGACTATTATTACGAATTTCGCAAAACGGTACAGGACTTTTATGTTCACATCAACCCATTCTACGTCCTCACTAAATGCTCGGAGGAGAGTGTGAGACACCCTGTATACATATATAGAGAGTCCCGCGTAAGACGGACCAAAAGAAAAATATAAGTAAAACACATAAAAGTGAACAAAAATTGTATAGGTCATTTTTCAAACAACC